CAGGCACAGCTTTAAAGCAAAACATACCGAAAGCCAACTACCAAGGCCGCAGTAAAGAGTACCTTTTTTTATTACGAATATTCACCTGGCTTACTTACCAACAAAAAGTTTTAAAAGCTGTTCACACACTAGCATAATATGGTAACCACGAAAAACTGCAAAGCACCTTCCTTCAAAAGTTTCTGCAGCAGTTTTCTTCACCATCCCATCTTGAGTTCTTCATGGCTCAATCTGGGAGCAAAACCAGGGAGCTGGACAGGGGACAGACTGTATTTGTCTTCAGTGTGGAAGGGACGGTCACTCTCGAACTGGCCTCCTCAGCCACACTAGATGCTGTTCCAAGTCCTCCATACAGAGCACGTTCCCATCGTCTCTCGAGACTGAAGGATGTCTAATCTAATGTAATCTAGAACCACAATACCAGTGGTTCTAGGCTACCTGCAAGACAGGCAGGCTGTAAGGAGGCTGTAAGAACACACAGGGGCTGGAAGCCCTCTTTTTCTACTGGTGCGGTCTCTCTAAGAAGCTCCGGTGGCATTTCTCTGCCCTGGAAAAAGTGTGAGCGAGCACCAGGCCCAGGTAACATTTTGGTCTGACAGAGGCAGGTTCTCACGCAAGAGACCTTTCTCAGCATCTCCTGGCCCTTGGGCAGATTCACATCATGCGTATTTCACAATCTGCTTAAGGAAATAGTGAAGAAGCTAGAGAGGCAACAACCCATGCAGCTTTTGCAGGACAGACGGGCACGCAAACGTAGCCACGCCAGAAACTATTTTAAAGAAGCGACTCATCTCTTCCACAATCCCTATCGCCTCTCTTCCCGGACATGGCTCCAGAAACTCCTCTGATGAATTATTTGGCTTAAATGCTTTTTTTTCCTCTCCTCCCCCTGAAATGCAGACCAGGTTTGGACAACCCGTCTCTCTTCCTTTGGCTTCTCTCTCTTCCTCCTCCTTTTTTTGTCCTTCTCCCCCACATCTCATGGCCATTCAGCCACCCACCTGTAGCATCACCCGAAAAAAGGATCTCGGGTCCACTGGGGCTGCCAAGGCTCTCTCGGCGAGGTGAGGATGAGCGGCAGGCAGGGAGAACAGATCACAGGGGGAAGGAACAGCGACGGGCACTCCAAATCCACACACCCTGTTGCTGATTTAACAATGCAGTGAAGCCAAGGGGTACGGTAACGCCTTTATTCCAAGTCTAATTCCAGCTCCAGGGCAGGTACGGTTTTCTGTAGGATCTTTGTAGTCGCTTCCTTTTCTTTTAACCCAGGAAGATCGCTCAGGAACAAATATTTGAGATTGCTATACAACATGAAATTGAAGAGGAAGAAAAGTTACAGTTAGCAAAAAACTCGCTGGCTGCCATAGAAAACCAAAAAGGCACTCCCTCAAAAAGGTACATTCAGCCGTCTACAATGGGAGACGAACTTCTGTGGCTTAGCCAGAGAACACACTCCAAGGAAGTGCTAATGAATACAAAAGATAAGTACATTCTGGACAGGTTGATGATATCAATGTCTTTACCTGGGATTAAGTCCCACTAGAGCTTAGCGAAAATTGGTTCTGAGCACACAGGATGGCACCACAGCACACTTAACTCACTGTGAAGCCACATTCAAAACAGTTCTAAGAGATGAGCTTTTGAGTTTTGGAAGCAATGCCTTATCTCCTATATCTTCTCTTAATTTTCTCGAGGTTTCTAAATCCACTCAGTTTCGGTTTAAGAGGTCCCAGGAAACCTGGTGCCACTGGCCAGCAGGGAAGCTGTGTTCTCTGCTACATAACCTGCAGGCAATGACACTCATCATCTTGATACCGCCCGACAGTCATAGCTGCAAACACTTGCCAGGAAATCCTGGTCTAATGAGGGCTCCCAGAGCTACACAGGAGTTTAAAAGTGTGCCCCCAACCCCTCTTCCACTGCAGGAAACTGGCAAGTGTGCAGCACATGTGTTGCTTTGGGGAAAAAAAAACGCAGCCGCCCCTTGGTGGGCAGCATACCTGAGCTTATGGAACGTGCAGTAAATGTGCTGGTTTGAAAAAAACACAACCATCCCTTGGTGGGCAGCATACCTGAGCTTATGCAGGGCGATGATGCCTCTGTCTGTCACGTTCCCACAGGATATGATCCACAGGCGCAACAGGCTTTTCTGCAGGCTGGGGATTTCACTGAGCCGTTGCAAGCACTCATCCTGAAGGTACATGCATTTGCAAAACCTGATCTCCTCCACGTTCTCCAGGCCCTCTGAAAATGGAATTACAGCACTGGCTTAAGGGAGGGGGGCTTCTCAGACAGGAAAAGGATCGCTGGACAGCCGTTCTTGCCCACACGCTGAACAAGCTCGGAGGCTTCCTTGAAGTGGCTGGCTAGTGATGTCCACGTGTTATCACAAAGGGAGCGGGTGCGGTTGCCAAGCCAGGGTTTCATAACAATCTAAAGGATAAAAGATTGTCCCTGGCGATCCCTTAGGGAAAGGATGGGCAACTTATTTATTTATTTAACTTATATGCCGCCCACTCTACCCAAAGATCTCTGGGTGGCTTACAACTTCTAACGGTTCAGGATTCCCCCCCCTCCCACACCCACCCTGACCCTGAAAGGGCACACTCGCTCCCAGCATCCTCACCTATCCAAACAACAACAAAAAACCAACACACCTCTTACAAAAACAAGGTTTCCCCACCACCACCACTTTAAAGGCTGCCTTGCACCTTCCCTCTAGCAGTAACAGAAGTTTCAGATTTTTAAAAGTGGGCCTGGGCCCCCCCCGGGGGGGGAGAGAAGGCTCACTTTGGCACCTTGAATCTATTTGGAAAGAGTCCAGCTGGGCAAGGTTAAGGTAGGAAAAACAGAAACCTTCGCAAAGTCACTCAGCTAGCAATAATGAAAGACAAAACTGGGTACGTATGCTATAAACCAGAATTGCTCTGTATTCAAGTAAGTCTCAGCTACTTACCCAAATAATCAAATCCTCTGTACATGATGCAAGACTCTGTGGCGTTTATTGCTTGTATCTTATATCTTCCTAATAAATCCTCTATACATGATGCAAGACTCTGTGGCATTTATTGCTTGTATCTTATATCTTCCTAATGGCCCGGAAGGGAGTCCGTTGTAATCTTGCTGCCATTTATCAAATCCGTGGTAACGTACCAGTGCCCCACAGCGGAGAAGCCACTCGGAAGCAGCCCGGTCCGGACCGACTGCCTGGATCCGTTCATAGTCTACCCTGTCAACAAGGAAGCAGGGTGAGCTCTTCCCAATCAGAACCCCCCTAAAAAAAAGTGACGGTGTTGCAGCTCAAGAAGCTGGATGCCCTATGAAGCGATTTTTGAAAATGCAAGCAGCACCACCGGAGCGTGGGATGGGGGGAAAATGATGGGGCTCCGAGCAGATACAGATTGCGGATGTAATGCTTTCCTCCCCCTCCTGCAGTCCTGTGGAAAAGCCCTTTTTCTGGAATTGGTATTTGAGGCAGAAATCCTCCACTAGTGAGGGAAGTGAACTGACACAATTTGCAGATTTAAAAACCGGCGTGCGAGATGCAAAGACCATAAACCTGTGGGAGGGTATCCAGCTTCCCGTCCCAGATTCCAAACACTTTGCATCTCTGCTTATAAGGACTCTGGGCAGGCCGCTAGCTACCTGGACGAGAAGCGATTCTGCAGAAACATGGAGCAGTCTGGGGAGAGTTAACGTGGTGCCCTTCAAGAAACAACTCCCAAGAGCCAGTTGAGCAAGCTACCTGGATGAGAAACGATTCTGCAGAAACACCTCCAGACGGAGCAGTCTGGGGAGAGGTAACGTGGTGTCCTTCAAGAAACAACTCCCAAGAGCCAGTTCGCGTCATCACTGACTGTGGAAACTGGGATTCGGAATCTTCGAAGGACTCCACGTCACCTTACCTGTACAGCAGGCAGGACTGCCCTGGAATGAGGAGATGCTGCTTCCCATGCTTAAGCAAACACTTTCTCGAATGATGTTGCACTACAACTCCTATCACAGAGCCAGCCCAGCCCAGTCCACTGTGAAGGATGATGGGAGTTGTAAGGCAACCATTTCTGGCCACACTTTCTCCCTTCTTGCTAGAACCAGAAAATTATTCACAGAAGAGGAAACCTCCTGAAAAATAACAGTCTACAAACCTCTTTAACTGTTTAACCTTCAGCAACCCTAACCAAAAAGAAGCTCTGCATTTGTACATCCTTTGGATCCTGGACTTTCCCTCTCATTTCTTATTCTGAAGAACCTCTACAAGTGTTTTTTACACCATGCATCTTAGCAGACATGAATGGTGCTAAAGCAACATGTCATGTGTGCCAATTAAAGGGAGAATCCACACATGCGCATCCCTGGATAGGCGCCATAACAAGAGCCAGTTTACAGGTTCAGAGAAAACAGCTCCCTTGCGGTTTTAAAATACAGGCAAGGAACTGCATAGGGGCAAATGCCTTTTCTGGGCAAAAAGTCGTCAGTCACAGCAGGCATGCCCCACATTTCAAGGTGAAATGCATTGATGCATCTTGACCTCCGAGAACCGCTCGGAATCCAATGAAAATCCTAGCATAGCTCAGCCTCAAGGTAGAAGGGTTTCCCATGGGATTTAGGAAGGGGTTGGAATTGTGATGGGTTGAACTTGTTTAAAACTAGTTGTGATTTCCACAACTGTCTTTCAAGCCTCTTTTGTGGGAACGTGGCTGTTCCTTGCTTGGTGCTGTCTCTTACTTGTTGAAAATGCTGTTTAGCCATCCCCAGAAGCACCGGCGCCCTTGGCAAGTGGATGGCACCTTCTTGCACCCGGCCACTCGGTGGGTCAGCGCTCCGACCAGCATCGCGCGGGCACTTCTTTACACCAGTGGCAGCTCGATAAGATCCCTGGACAAAGCACGACAAGAACATTTATGGACTGGCCACTAAAGTTGAGTTAAAACAGAGGACTAGGAAAACATAACCAAGACGTTTACGCTTGGGCTTGCCGACCAACAGGGAGCCGAGGGAAGGCTCAGAGACAAGAATTGCTTCCGCGCATTGATAAACAAAAATAAAACACAGTGGCACTTTAGAGATGGCTGTATTTCTTACAGTGAGCTTTCATGGATGGCCCTCCACTTCCTCAGACATATTGAAAGATTTAGCCACAGATATACATTTAGCCACTCACCATTTTTTGGTTTGTTTGTTTTTGCTTTTAAATACTGCCTTTTAATCCTTGTGATCTGCCTTGGGGTCCTTTTAAGGGGGGAAAGTGTGGTCATCATATTTTAAATAAATAAAAGAGAGGTTGGTTTGAGAGCAGAATGGAAATGGAGCAGGGAGAAGAGCGTGATGCGGAGGAAATAAACCTCCTGGCCGTCCACAAGGGCCGGCGGTTCACCTTTGGGGGAAGTCAGCATCCTCCCCTGAGGGTCTCTTTGTACAATGGCTGGGCTCAGTTGGGGGGTTGTGGCGAAAGTCAGAGACCCACCACCACCACCACCATCCTGGCCTTTGCAAGAAATGCAAAATAGGGTGGTGGTGGTGGTCAATCGTTCCTTCCAAGTTCTGGGGATTGGGGGTGCATGGGGGGGTGCGGTGCTTTCACACCCCATCTCCTGGGGCGACAACGGGCACATCTATTTGGTCGTTTTGGAAGATCACCGCCTGGGTCGGTGTGAGCGTGTCTGGCAAAATCCACAGAAACCAAAACAACAACAACAACAAAAGGCAACAAGAAATATTTTAGGCGAAAATCCACAGAAACCAAACCAATAATAATATTAAAATAAAAACAAAAGGGACCAGCCCAGGGGTGGGTGGGGGGCACCTTAAAGGCTAGCCTTTTCCCTTGGAAAGGTCAGCTTTGGGCAAACACGAAGAGAGACGGAAAGAAGGGAAAGGGAGGATGAAATCGCCGCCTCCATGCCTCGCCTCCTCCTCCATCTTTCCTGGGGCGGGAAAGGAATTCACCGGGACCTCCTTGCCTCCCCCCCCCAGGCAGAAAGAAGCAAAGAAAGACCGCCCGGGTCCCTTCTGCGCAAGCAGCAGGAGAGAGTTTTGTGGTTTTTTTAAAAAAGGGAATTAAAAATAAAGGGGGGGCGTGTGTATCAGATGGACCACGAAATAAAAGACGCCTAATATGTGTGTGTGTGTCTATACA